TTCAATTACCCGCCCCTACTGGACATCTGTAATAAAACAAAACGAGCTTTATAGTACTCTTAGGTTTTTTCGGTAAAGTCACGTAGGTAAAAATAAAAATAAATAATATTAAGAATAATAGAAATAAAATAATAAATCACAGCTTTATAGCTCATCAGATTCCTCCAGTAAATACATTAATAGTCTGATTCTGAATGGTTTTCGCTCAGCAGGGGGCGTGATGCCGACCAAACTTTCGCGACCGTGAAAACGACCAGCCCAACAACACCCCCCTCCCCGCCACCACACGCAGCCTCTGAACTCGTCCCCGCTTTAATTGTTTTCAAATCATGCGTTGAGGAGGCAAGTGAAGAGAGCGACAGGGATTTGGCGGGGGGCAAATGACAAATGGTTTGTCGCGTGTTACAGGTGGCGGGTTCCAATGTCATCCTGCTGCTAATTCATTGGGACATTCTCAGAAATGACATTTGGCTTGAGACCGCGGCGTTTAGCGACCTTCCCGTCCGCGAGAGACCCACGGCGTGCACATTTATAATCTCTGCAGACACCACGGAATCATTGACGACAGACGTGGTGTTGTTACGCGTGCACACGCTTATATATTGAGAGCATCTCATGCCAATTCCCTGGGGACGGGCGGGAGAAGGAAATGATATATGGCCATACTTCACCACGCTGGTCAGTGCCGGTTGATGAAGGTGGGAAGCATACACGTGGGAACATGTAAGTATAGCACAACAGTGAATTGTATTCTCATTACTTTGCAATGCAGTCCTGTGCTCCTTGCTGCCCACCATGTAAACTTGAAGCCTACAACCCCCGTTATGTGTGGTGGGTGCCGCCATCCAAAACGCGAACCAGGCGAAACGTCCGCTTCGCTTTCGAGATTTGACGAGATGGGTCACATTCTCGGTGATTTGACCATCGACGCGTGCGTGTCCACGGCGTCATGTGCAAGCATTGCGTGTAAGCAGCACACCGACGGGTCTGACCGTACGTATAAAAACAGGAAGCGTTGCATTAGACCCGTCCAGCAGATCAATTGGATGCGTGACCTTTACACACTCCAGTCGTCGAGACCCACAGCGGCATGCCCTTCCAGTCTGTGCCAATCCTCCGCTCAAATACGTGCAGATGCATTGGGTACACGCCTCACGCGCCCGATGATAGCTAAACACGTCTTAGGTGGTGTAGGGAGTGGCTGATTAAGATGGAGATAATGTGTGTGCTGTATGTACCTTCTAACTATTTTTTTAAACCCGTGGCACACCACGGTAAGGCGTGTAGATTCAAGGGTGTGATGTATGATAAAGGAACACGGGACGGGAAAGGGAAGAAAAATAATGGTAAATAGGAGCAAACGGATGGAAAATGAACGGAGAAACGGGAGCAGAGGGGGTCAGGAGAGACGAGGATTGGGAGGAAGAGGCTGCATCAGGGACTCGACGCTTCTGTGTGGAGGGGCAGCTTCTGTTTTCACAGGGGGCGGCGATGGAGGAGAAGGGGTTCAAAGTGGGGGTGGCCACACAGAAGTCACGTGATGTACGGAAGGCTCGAGCTGATTTAGACAGAGAGATGCGAGTACGTGTGACGTAGAGAGAGCTAATTGAAAATGTAAGATACACGTCGTGTATTTATACCTGTGTTGCACGTGACAATATAGGCATTGTCTTTTAGTTTCAGGTTTATTTTCTTTAACCAGTTGAGAACTCAAGAGACCAGGATGGTGTAATGTGTAAGTGACCTGGGGCCTAAGTCTGCCAATTAAAGAGCGATGATTGCTGCCGTATAATCCCAATTGATTAAGTGTGTGTTTGTGTGTACGTGTATATCGCACGTGACGTAGGGAGTGTTTATTTACACTCAGACGTGTCCCTCTCCGTGTTTAGCAATCATCAGGCATGTGCAGCATGTAACTACTCAACCTGTATTTTGAAAAATGAAGATTGGTACATACGGACGGACGGACCGTGGTAAGAACAAAACCGCTGGTTCAAATATCACGCACTGCACATTTGCCGTGTTACACTGGGTTAGTCCATGGGCAAGACCAGAGCCTGGCACGACTTGAGGACATGGGCACGTAATTTCATTTGTAATTTGGTATTGAAATCACACACACCGCCCAAATTGTAACATTGTAACCTTTTCATATACAGTAATTGCATTGCTCTGGCAAGTTGTAATTTTAACATGTTTTGCCCTGCCAGCCGCACGTTCATTGTACGTCCACAGGGCCAATCAATCGTGAAGGCTGCACAGCGATGGCATTATCAGTTGTTGCCAAATATTAGTAAATGCCCTGTGTTCAGCCTCACGGCGGAGTCTCAAGATTTGTTGAGCAGGAGGGTGCTCCTGCTGCACTGTCGCGTTTGGCCATTGCCATTCATCAAGTGACCTCTTCACGCGGAAGCCACGGAGCCTGCTTGAAAACCCCACACATGCAACGGAGATATCGTGAGCGTACGAACCTGATTTTAATTGGTGTAATTGACATATATAGTTACACATGTCCCATCCACCTTTAACTTACAACCCCCTTGTCAATCCACTGCTGGATGAAGGCCTCCCCACGCCGTTACGATCACGGGGTGCTGACCGTACTTTAGACCACTCTGGTTAGTGCGTTTCGACGGAAGTAAACAGGGAGCGGTGGCGCAGTGGTTAGCAACACTGCGCTACGAACCCGGCGACTCAAGTTCCATTCCCGCTCACGCCCGACATCAGTGACGAATATCTTAACCGGTGCTGGGTCTCCCCTAGGCAGACTCAGCCGTAAAGGAGTACCTGGTACTGTGGGTTAAAACATCAGCACTTGGGGATACAAACGGCGCACGGCTGTGGTGATGGCCACCCACCCCTCGCAAGGCCTGCGTCGGTGCTCGCTAACAGCACCTGCCCCAAGTCTGACAAGGCCCTCTGGGGGTTATTTTTTTTTCTTTTGGAGAGAGGAGGCAGGACCGATTCAGGTATCAATCGCCACTAATGTTAGCCGTGGCCGAGAATCACCATGTCACGCTTTCATACCAGCCACCGACATCGCTATGTATCGACACTGCAAATCGGTCTGTCAGTTCCAGTGGTGTCGGTGTAACATATGGAGTCCACGTTTGAATATGGAGACTTAATATTATTTTTGTAACAAAAAAGGTCTTAATTTTTGGCTAAAGCAGTTGGTAATATCCATCATCATCTTTAATCCCATCAACCACGGTCTATACACTGCTGGATGAATCCCACCCCACCATTATAATAGTAATAATAGTCGTGAACACAGTGGAATATAGAAGTTGCTGTACAAAGGATTACATGGGAAAACGTGATATTAACAGCAACAAAATAATTTTAACAGTAATAATTATGATCATTGACATCAGTTATTATATGTACATGGACGCACGCAGGCGCGTGTATATATAATGTGTGTGTGTGTACATGCCGTATATAATTACATACAACTACAGGCTGGGAAGGTGAATTCTCACATTGTGCAAATATCTGGGGGCACTATCTCTGCGCTGCTCCCTGGTCAGTTTTAAATCCACGAGGCGTCAAAACGACTCAGAGAAAGCACCCGGCTGGCCAGGAGATTCCAGCCACACCTTGAAGCGTATAATTCCAGCCGCGTACCTTCTTCATTTGGTTTAGACATACACGGGGGCACACGACGTGCGTAATCATACATACATACATACACGCAGACACGTGCCTAATCATACATACACGCGTGTGTATCATACACAGACACGCGCATGTAATGAGAGTGACACATACATGGGCAGACACACCTTAGAATACATAGACACATGAATATTTATACATACACGTGGGCACACACATAGACAAATATCCCACGTATAGTCTAAACAGACTGTAGGGCAAGTGCTGTTAGCGAGCACCTATGAAGGCCGGAACGGCACACGAGGGGGTGGGTGGCCAGCACCACGCCCGGCCGCTTTTGTCTTCCCAGTGGCAATGTTTACACACCGCACCAGATATTAATTTGAGGCCGAGTCAACACACAGGTGCATGCAAACATTACTACGGAGAGCAGTCGACACCTGTTTGAGAACAAGATAAGTGACTTGATGAGATATCCATTATCCACACTCGATGTAATCACCATCACCGTTATAATCATCGTCACCAGCAGCACATGCATGTTGCAACTGCTGTGTCATGTATCTTCAGATGCAGTATCATTTAGGTGACATACACATGTAATTATGGACACCATGGTCAGCCTTGGTCTATCCACTTCTGGATGAATGCCTCCTCCTCATCATGCATCACTGTGAACCGTGGTCTATACACTGCTAGATAACGGCCGCCTCACGCCATCATCCCCTCGTGGTCGTGTACTCCCCATGGTCGCGTGGGGTTTTCTCCGGGTCATCTGGTTTCTTCCCTCCACATGTATTTGGCTGCTGTACATTTCCACACGATGTGCCACTTCGTTGAGCCATAATTTGTGACCAGGTCGATTCTGAAAAAGAGCCGTATAGCTCAGTGGGGCCTTACCTGGTGAGATTAAAAAATATAATAGTTTCGTTTAGTTTCTCACACAGGAATCCAAGCTCCCATTATGCCCATAGAATTCATGGCCGAACATCCCAGTGTAGCGGGACCCTCTTTGTAAATTAGTCGCGAGTCTCAGTGAAGCTATTCTGGGTAAACACAGGGTAGCTTTTTGGTGCAGTAGTCGGGTAATAATTTGTGCTTGCGTTTATAATGATGTCAACTTGTAACGTTTATAATTATGTCAACTTGTAACGCGGCACCACGGTATCCGCTCGCTCTCATAGAGAGAGAACGACTCAGAGCCGCGAGGAGGAACCACAGACGAGCGGTAAAGCAGCAGCAGCCACGCAGTGAGTCGAGTTCCAAATTCCCCTCCCCTAAGTTCTGCGGTCCTCTTTGTATTAAGATGGCATTGGCCAATTAACGAGAGGAAACCGAAAACCCCGGGAGAAAACGCACGCGTGCGAGGGGACAATGCTCTATCCCATGCAGATGGAACAGGCGGAGTCCACGTGTTGGTGGCGAGCCAGGGTGCAGCAGATTCCTGGACGCCCCACGGGGAGGGGAGTTTCACGACACCTGTGGGTGACCCACCAACCCTCGCTGCGGCACTACTCCGCGGTGCGGGATTGCCGAGCGCGTGCAGCGCAGCCACCGCCTCGTCTTACTCGACATCTCCTTCTCGAAGATCGTTGACCGCCCATTAAACATACGCCAGAGTAACATGGAGTTGTCACCAACGGCTCAGCAATGAAAGGGCGTGAACCCCACGTTCCGAACATCCATTGTCGCATCTTATGCGACCGTCATCACGGTATTCTCCTGATTATAAGACGCACTGCCTCCTTGCGTTTTAAAGCAAAAGTTAGAGGTGCGTCTTAGAATCCGGTAGGTGCGCGTGCGACCAGATTTGTATAACAATATTGACACCTGGAACAAGTTTGGGGTGATCTTACTTTACAGAGCATCTTATAATTCGGAGAAATACCGTAAAACGGAGAATACGTAGATAGGCAGGTAGACCTGTAATGATGCTCCACCTCTAGTGATTCAATAGAGTGCCAATAATAGATTTAAAAAAATGTAACATTGCAGAGAACGAATCGACGTCTCTTGTACCATACAACAATGGCCCCGTGGAACAATGGCCCTGTGGAACAATGGCCGGTGGAACAATGGTCCCATGGAACAATGGGCCAATGGAACAATGGCCGGTGGAACAATGGTCCCATGGAACAATGGCCCTGTGGAACAATGGCCGGTGGAACAATGGTCCCATGGAACAATGGCCCTGTGGAACAATGGCCGGTGGAACAATGGTCCCATGGAACAATGGGCCAGTGGAACAATGGCCCAGTGGAACAATGGTCCCGTGGAACAATGGGCCAGTGGAACAATGGCCCAATGGAACAATGGAAAAAGGCGCATACGACGAGGGAAATCATCGACTGTCGTGAAGGCGACACGAATGCGTGCGCGAGTCGTGAGCGCAGAGAGATTCACGATTGGAATTTATATATAGAGAGAGAGACACGAACACACACGAGGAGCAGCGGACACATGAGCAGGCTCATAATGGCACCGTTCACGCTCGCTATGAAACGTGAGTGTGCTGGGGCAGGACACGTCACGGCTTAGAAAGGGCCACGTGGTCACGGACGATAATGGAGTGGGCACAGTCAGGGACTTGAAGGCGTCCACCGAAGGAGATGGAGCGACGAAATCAGCTCGCGTGCAGCTGCTACAGGAGGCGGATTCATAACATCGCGGGATCTTGAGAGGCTGTTGCAGCCTAGGCCTAGGGGAGGCCTGCATCCAGCAGTGGATTGAGCATGGCTGATGATGATAGGGATGTATGCAAATCTTATAATAAAGTTGCTCAAATGAAGATGCAGCAGTTAAATAAAACTGTTGGAATACATATTCTATGGGTCTTTCGGTAAAGCCACGTGGCTTTATTATTATTTTTCTATCTCCGTGGCTTTACCGAAAAACCCAAAGAATATGAATTCCTGCAGTCACAAAGCTTGCAGTCAAGATTTAGTTAAAATACAAACGTGTTCTGGGAGTGGGAGATACGAGACGATAAAGAATCGATCCTTGAATCTAAATAACCGTGGAAATCAATCGTTCGCCGCCGGGGCGTTGAATCGTTCCGACCCGCGTCGTCAGACAAGAGGGCAACGGCGAAACAAGGGCACACGCGGACAGGGATCCATACAGAGTGCGCAGACACGGAACACGTTTACCAGGACACCGGTGAGACTGGAGGAGGCGACACGGGACTTGGTAAACCACCACAGCCATAGCAGCGATAGGTACAGGGGGATGTGGTGTGCCGGGTGCCGGGAATAATTCCCTGGTCACGGGCTGAGAGTAAGCCGTGAGCAGCACATGGCTTCAGTGCACGGTCTTGGATTCAAGACGATAATTGGCCGAAGATGACGGTGCTGCTGATGGTGCTGCTGCTGATGATGATAATGATGAGGATGATCGTAATGAAGTTGGTGATGATGAATCTCGCCACGTGAGCTCACAAACTTCTCGCTCGCTTGTGGCTGTTCTCACCACACCACCATCACGAGCAGCGCCACCACCAGCAGCAGATCTACCAGCAGTACCAGCAGCAACACAACCACCACCATCAGCACCAACACCACCACAAGCAGCAGCGGCACCAGCGGCTGCAACACAACTACCACCGCCACTAGCCGCAACTCTAACAGCAGCAGTGGCACCAGCAACACAACCACCACCAGCATCAGCCGCAGCTCTATCGGCAGCAGTAGCAGCAGCAGCAGCAGCAACACAACCACCAACAGAAACTCTACCAGCAGCAGCAGCCACGGCTCCGTCCGCGCCGCCCGCCGCCGTCGCCGCCGCCTCGTGCAGCTTGCGCACGTGCTTCTTGAGGTCGAAGTTGCGGCAGAAGCCGCGGCCGCACGCCACGCACGTGTACGGCTTGCGCTCCGTGTGCGTGTGCATGTGGAAGGCCAGGTTGTACACCTGGTGGAACGCCTTGCTGCACACGCCGCACTTGTACTGCTTGTCCCCGCTGTGCGTCAGCTTGTGGTTCTTGTAGTTGCCTGCGGGGTGGGCATTTCGTAAAGATGAGGGGGGGGGGGGTGCGACGGTCGAATGCATACACGCGAATGAATAAATGCATCGTTCCGTTCCGTTCCTGCGTACGGAGGGCGATATTGTTCGGGAAGCTGGATGGTTAAGGTTGGGAGGACCGCTCGCCACGACGAGAGGGCTTCAGTGGAGAGTCGAGTGGTGTTGCTGTTCCTTCTCCTCCGTTGAAGAATGCACAGGCTCGTCTGTTATATGGTCCATATTAGACGTACATTGCCCGTAGACTAGCATTACCCAAAACACTGCCCACAGAATAACATTGCATACATGCGAACACTGCCCATTTACCAACATTTCCCATCGTTGCACATTGATCATAGACTAACATTGCCTAAAGATTTGCATTGCCCATAACACTCCCCATAGAATCATATTTCCCATATACTAACACTGCCCATATACTAACATTTCCCATTGTTAAATATTGCTCATAGACTAACATTGCCTAAAGATTTACATTGCCCATAACACTCCCCATAGAATAATATTGCCCATATACTAACACTGCCCATTTACTAACACCATACTTGCACATTGCCCATAGATTAACGGTTACCCTAGACTCGCACTTCCCCATAGACACGTTGGCCATGACAATGTCCATACACTAACATTGCCCAAAGACGAACACTGCCCATATACCAACATTGTCAATAGACATTGCCCATAGACCATTCTATTCTTTACTCTTTGGTTATTTCGGTAAAGTCACGTAGGTATTCTATTCTTGCCATGTGGCAGCATGTTCAGGAGCGAAATGCCAATGTCGAGGTCTGCTGCTGGCTACGACGAGAGGGCATCAGCAGAGCGAGAGAGTTGGTGTCGTTTCGCCGTTCCTCCTCCGTTAAAGGAGTGCAGGCGACGGTGGATTACGATACGGTCTATAGGGGTTTTGGTAGCATGGTCACAATCGCACCCCTGTGGCTCCGTCTTTACTTTTCCATTCATCACAGCGACGTGCACATATCGGCCTGCTGGTGATGCCCTCGTGCGGTTTATAGTCACACCAGAATCTGGCATTGCTGGAGCGCACAAGCGCAGTTCACGAAGGAAAACGTCACACGTTCGTCATTAACACTTTGTGTGGCCTTAAAATGGGCGGTTGTGGGGGGTTGGGGCGGTTGTGGGGGTTGGGGGGTGGGGGGGTTGTGGGGGTGGGGGGGTTGGGGGTGGGTGGGGGTGTTGTGGGGGGGGGTGTAAACGTGGCCGTGTCAAGCGCGTGTCGTCCCCGTCTCGCGAGCTCACCTTTCTGGTGGAACCCCTTGCCACAGAACTCGCACACGAAGGGCTTGAAGCCGGCGTGGATTCGCACGTGGGTGTTGAGCGTGGAGCTGCGGTTAAACGCCTTCCCGCACTGCGAGCATTTGTGGGGTCGCTCCTACGACAAAAAAAAAGACAGATCCCCCGTGTAGCCTTAAACAGACTGTTGGGGCAAGTGCTGTCAGTGAGCATCATGTCGGCACGGCACACAAGGGCATGGGTAGCCAGCACCACGCCCGGCCGCCTTTGTCTCTCCAGTACGTTTACATACTGCACCGGATACTCATTTGAGCCTGAGTCGACCTAGGGGATGCCCAGGACCGCTTCAAATTATCGTCACCGGTTGTTGGCCGTGAGCGGAAATCAAATTCGCAGCGTAGCGCAAACCTGCTACACTACCGCTCCCCGCTACTGCGACACACGCAGAGAGAGGGGGGCACACTGCAATCGCAGTCACTTGCTGCGTCAGTTTGCGCAGTTGTGCCGCACGCCTCTCCGAGGTGCTTTCGGATGTCGCCGCGTGCCGTTCAGAACGATGTCCGACGTTCCGCTCCACGTGCTGGGAATCTCAAAAAAGTCCCCCCCCCTCCCCCAAATCCATGCAGCGAAACGTCGGGCATCGTGTGGAACAATCAGGACAGGTGGCAACCCTTACTCGCAGTGAGTTTTAAATCAGCCTCTTGAACAAGCGTGCACAAAGCACTCGCGCCTATCTGCGCGTTATGCAAAAACCGTCAGCAAGTTCCTGTAGAACTGCACTGTGGACAGCGTCTTGCCTCGGGTCCCCATAAAAATAACATTTTGGCAAATGTGGTGCCGACTGACAGCAGCAGCCGTGGTGCAGTGATGAGCGACGCACGCGGACCGGTTTCCTCCTCACTAGGACTCATCAGCACAGTTCAGCTTGGTGACGTGCGTCTGACTGCAGGAGGTGATGACAACTATATCCGTTCTCCTTTGCGCGAACCCGAGCCCTGACTCTACCCCCATCTCATAGCCAAGTGGGTCCTAACCTTTACTGCAAAGTAGTTGTTTCTTACGTGCCCATTATTATACCATTGTAACCTTATTTGCCAGTAGAAAAATATGATAATTGTTTTTTTACCCTTTTATCTGGCAACAAAAAAGGTGTCAGTTTTGTTGCCAGATAAAAGGGTAAAAAAACAATTATCGTGCTCATTATTATTTCGATTATTTACCGTCGACAAAAATCTGGCCATGTCTCGCACCACCCCCCACTCCCCCTACAAAGGGCATCTTCGCGTGCCCCCCACGTGAAGAAGCACCACCCAGCCAGTCCGACCCCGAATGTTCGCGATGCCACTTCCTGAACACCGAAAGGGGGAACCCCGCTCGCGCACCTGCGTGTGGATGATCTTGTGTCGGCACAGTGTGCTCGCCTGGCGAAACCCCTTCCCGCACACCTTGCACACGAAGGGGCGCGCGCCGGTGTGCACGGGCATGTGTCTCGTCAGGTTGTAGTGTGCGTTGAACACCTGGCCCAGGTGGGGGGGGGGGGGGAGTGGGGGAGGGAGAGAAGGGATATGGAGATGTGAGCCTCCCCGTGTCCCCTGGGCTACAGCTCCACCACACAGCTACACTCAGCCTCCCCGTGTCCCCTCGGCTACAGCCCCTCCACACAGCTACACTCAGCCTCCCCGTGTCCTCTCGACTACAGCTCCTCCACACAGCTACACTCAGCCTCCCCGTGTCCCCTCGGCTACAGCCCCTCCACACAGCTACACTCAGCCTCCCCGTGTCCTCTCGACTACAGCTCCTCCACACAGCTACACTCAGCCTCCCCGTGTCCTCTCAGCTACAGCTCCTCCACACAGCTACACTCAGCCTCCCCGTGCCCCCTCGACTACAGCTCCTCCACACAGCAACACTCAGCCTCCCCGTGTCTTCTCAGCTACAGCTCCTCCACACAGCTGCACTCAGCCTCCCCGTGTCAGCTACAGCTCCTCCACACAGCTACACTCAGCCTCCCCGTGTCCCCTCAGCTACATCTCCTCCACACAGCTACACTCAGCCTCCCCGTGTCCCCTCAGCTACAGCTCCTCCACACAGCTACACTCAGCTTCCCCGTGTCCCCTCAGCTACAGCTCCTCCACACAGCTACACTCAGCCTCTCCGTGTCCCCTCAGCTACAGCTCCTCCACACAGCTACACTCAGCCTCCCCGTGTCCCCTCAGCTACAGCTCCTCCACACAGCTACACTCAGCTTCCCCGTGTCCCCTCAGCTACAGCTCCTCCACACAGCTACACTCAGCCTCTCCGTGTCCCCTCAGCTACAGCTCCTCCACACAGCTACACTCAGCCTCCCCGTGTCCCCTCAGCTACAGCTCCTCCACACAGCTACACTCAGCTTCCCCGTGTCCCCTCAGCTACAGCTCCTCCACACAGCTACACTCAGCCTCCCCGTGTCCCCTCAGCTACAGCTCCTCCACACAGCTACACTCAGCCTCCCCGTGTCCCCTCAGCTACAGCTCCTCCACACAGCTACACTCAGCCTCCCCGTGTCCCCTCGGCTACAGCTCCTCCACACAGCTACACTCAGCCTCCCTGTGTCCTCTCAGCTACAGATCCTCCACACAGCTACACTCAGCCTCCCTGTGTCCCCTTCAGTTACAGCTCCTCCACTCAGCCTCCCCGTGTCCCCTCAGCTACAGCTCCTCCACACAGCTACACTCAGCCTCCTCGTGTCCCCTCGGCTACAGCTCCTCCACACAGCTACACTCAGCCTCCCTGTGTCCTCTCAGCTACAGATCCTCCACACAGCTACACTCAGCCTCCCTGTGTCCCCTTCAGCTACAGCTCCTCCACTCAGCCTCCCCGTGTCCCCTCAGCTACAGCTCCTCCACACAGCTACACTCAGCCTCCTCGTGTCCCCTCGGCTACAGCTCCTCCACACAGCTACACTCAGCCTCCCCGTGTCCCCTCAGCTACAGCTCCTCCACACAGCTACACTCAGCCTCCCCGTGTCCCCTCAGCTACAGCTTCTCCACAAAGCTACACTCAGCCTCCCCGTGTCCCCTGGGCTACAGCTCCTCCACACAGCTACACTCACCCTCCCCGTGTCCCCTCGACTACAGCTCCTCCACACAGCTACACTCAGCCTCCCCGTGTCCCCTGGGCTACAACCCCTCCACGCAGCTGCACTGATAACAAAGTGGAACGATCGCCACTGCCGTGTGCTTCTCACCTTGCCGCACACCTCGCACGTGAAGTGCTTGGGTTTGAGTGCCGCTGCGTGGCCGGCGGTCCTGGAGGCCTGCGACCTCGCCGTGACCCCCGCGTGAACTCCTTGCTCCGATCGACGCTTCTCCGCCGAGCGCTTTGGGCACGAGGGGGGTCACAAGGGGGTGATGGGGGGGTCACGAAGAGGTCACGTGGAATCATCGTGAAGCAACACACGCCATCCCTTTGGTCTCTTACGCGCCGCATCAACATCACCAGCAGAGGCCATGATATATCCACTGCTGGATGAAGGCCTCCCCAAGCCGTTTGCATCTCTCACGGTCACGCTCTGTAGCGATCCATCTATTTTACGGGGAGGCCCTCACCCATCATCAGTGGACTGACAGAAGAGATGCACGTGCACATTAGTGCTGTTGTGTTATTTGCAGCACTTGGGGGTGGGGGGGGGGGGTGGTCCCCGTTTAAACACGGAGGGCAGAAACCTGGACTCAAACCTATGCCGGCTCAGTGCTCCGACACAGCCACGAGAGCTCCTGAGCCACCCAGCCACTTCAACACGCGTCCGTTAAAGACCATAAGCTCAGGCTTAGAGCCTAAACCCTGGGCCCTCTAACCCCTGACCTCCGGGGTCACGCCACAACACCCATCCTCTCACCGCCACATCCATGCCTTCCGCCCCATTTATAGCTCGACCCCCCCCCCTCCCTGCATCGCCCCGCTCACGTCCACGTCTCCCTCGTGTCAGCAACGGGCAATGGCTGAGCGAGCGGGTGTGCAGGCGGTGCGACTGCGCCACCAGAGAATAGAGGGGCGCTTCAAAAAAAAAGTGTGAACACTTCTGAGGATTTGCAACGATACCACGGGAAATTTGCCTCCGTGCTTTGGACACCACCTGGAGAAGATTCCAGGCAGGTGTTGACAACGATGGCGACTTTTTGTAGCTATTAACATTTACATTTGTTGTTTTTTCATTAAAAACGATAGCCCCATATAAGTGTCAAAACAATATTGAAGCACTCTGTATAGACAGAGAGAACCCAGGCACGGGGCTACGAAGCGGTGCGGTGTGGAATGTGGAGGGAGAGGGTGCCCCACACCATCGCTGTGATTCGCCGTCGCCGGCAGTCCCTCGGGGGTTCGAGGATGACGTCCATCAGGTTTGGTGGTGGCTCTCGAAGTGGCTGAGAAGTCCAAACTCTGGATCCGCACACATTTGGGCCCTGCACCAGGGGGGCCCCGGGCTCACCTTCGCTACGCCGAACCGGTGATGGGCGTTTGCCCACTTTCCGCCGGCCTCAGCGTCACATTCCGCAGGAGGCAAATGACTCGGTCCGCTGACGGTGGCGACCATCTACTGTCTATGTGCAGGTGTTAAGCACGAGACTAAAACAACGTTGAACTGTCGGCTGGGTCCGCCCTATGCGTGGAATCTATCAATACCAGGGCTGTATTGTATACGAATTTGGATGTTGCTCGTTATACGCAGATTTGTGCGAATTTTGAGTAATTCTAGTCCTTTTGGAACTTCATTAGAATGTACATCAATCAGTCAATATCTCGCTCAGTAATGGTCACCTACAGCGACGTAGGGCAGCCCTCCGTCAATCAGCGGTTTGATGAAGACCTCCCCATGCAGGGTTTGTCATAAGGACGCCACGGTGGCGAGATGTTAACGACCTCGCCTGGTATACAGGCGGTCGTGGGTTCGATCCCGACCCTGACACCTGTATGTTTGGAGTTTGCGTTTTCTCCTCGTGGTCGCGTGGATTTTTCTCCAGGCCCGCCGGGTTGATTCCCCCCAAAAAGTGGTTCTCATTTTATCTTAATTAGAATAAAAGAATAAATAATTAAATTGCCTGTTTCAATTCATGACGATAAATGAAGTCAGTTTTATTATTGCAATTATCTGTGCCTGTTTTGGACAATGGGGGAACAAATGATCGTTACTGCGGGAACGAGCGTTTGAGGATCTACATATCCCCTCCGACTCGTTTCACCACGAACCCCTCTTACACTCTTCCGTTCGCTTCGCCGCGTTGATGTTCAGTGTTGACACGCGTGTTGTCGCATACGGCACTTAATGGCGCACTCATCGCCACCGCCAGCCTAATGAGCCCCACGCCTGCCCCGTGATGATAAGGGCGCTACATCGTCCAGAGAATTCACAGCTTCCTGCTGCTGCTGCCCGTCTTAAGTCTGGGAGAATTCACAGCTTCCTGTTGCCATGCAGTGTAAATCTGGGAGCATTCACACCCTCCTCCTGCTGCTGCTGCTGCCAGTGTAAGTCTGGCAGAATTCACATCCTCTCCTCCTTCGTGAACCCGTTACTGAACCAGCGTGGTGAAGTATGATCAAGTAGCACCGGGGCAGTACGTGTAAGACGCGTGGCTATTCCAGCCGAGTATTTTCTCATTATAATTTAGGCAACAAGGCTATGCCACTACATTTGAAAGGCTTGTAATGCAGTAGCTCCCCCCGTCTGTCGGGGGGGGGGGGGTCTAATACTCCCGTCAGGATGGTCCGATACGAACCAAACTTCAGTGTAGAGTTGCCTTTCAATTAGGGGCTTGCCCCACCGGCAACCGGCCACATCGATGAAAGGCGCTGCCTAAAACTCAGAGGCGCAACCCTGAGCAAAACAAATAAAACCGACCACTTGCCAATTCGCAAACGTATTTTTCCCTGACAGCTACCCCCATGACTTCCGTACTGCTGGTGACTCTGCTTATGAAGGCGTTCTGCATTGCCGATTGGATTCGCATGTTGTGAACGCGTTCCGGAATCCACGCCGCATCCCACGGTTGTTTTGTCTTCTCGTTTTGTTGCTGCTGTTGTTGTTGTTATTACTTTCCGCCTCTTGTAACACTTTTTGGTGTGAGCGTGAGCGGCGGAGTTGTAGAGGGAGGGAGACGAGGGAGTGGCCATAAGAGGGGGAGGCGACACCCACGGGGGGCAAGGGGGGGGTGTCGTGGTGGTGTGGGAGGAGGTGGGGGGGGAGGTGGTGGAGGGGGGGTCGTGGTGGGGGGGGGGTCGTGGTGGTGTGGGGGCAAGAGGTGGGGGAGAGGAGGGGGAGGGGGAGGGAGGTGGTGGGGGGGGGGGTCGTGGTGGTGTGGGGGGAGGAGGTGGGGGGGGTTGTGGTGGTGTGGGGGGAGGTGGGGGGGTAGTGGTGGGGGGGGGGTCGTGGTGGTGTGGGGGCAAGAGGTGGGGGGGGGGGGAGGAGGGGGAGGGGGGGAGGTGGTGGGTCGTGGTGGTGTGGGGGGTCGTGGTGGTGTGGGGGGAGGAGGTGGGGGGGATGTCGTGGTGGTGTGGGGGGGAGGAGGTGGGGGGGGGGTCGTGGTGGTGTGGGGGGAGGAGGTGGGGGGGGGGTCGTGGTGGTGTGGGGGGAGGAGGTGGGGGGGGTGTCGTGGTGGTGTGGGGGGAGGAGGTGGGGGGGGGGGTCGTGGTGGTGTGGGGGGAGGAGGTGGGGGGGGGTTGTGGTGTTGGAGGAGGTGGGGGGGGTCGTGGTGGTGTGGGGGGAGGAGGTGGGGGGGGGTCGTGGTGGTGTGGGGGGAGGAGGTGGAGGGGGGATCGTGGTGGTGTGGGGGGAGGAGGTGGGGGGGGGGGGGTCGTGGTGGTGTGGGGGGAGGAGGTGGGGGGGGGGTCGTGGTGGTGTGGGGGGAGGTGGTGGGGGAGGTGTCGTGGTGGTGTGGGGGGAGGTGATGGGGGGGGGGTGTCGTGGTGGTGTGGGGGGAGGTGGTGGGGGGGGTCGTGGTGGTGTGGGGGGAGGAGGTGGGGGGGGGTCGTGGTGGTGTGGGGGGAGGAGGTGGGGGGGGGGTCGTGGTGGTGTGGGGGGAGGAGGTGGGGGGGGTCGTGGTGGTGTGGGGGGAGGAGGTGGGGGGGGGGTCGTGGTGGTGTGGGGGGAGGAGGTGGGGGGGGGGTCGTGGTGGTGTGGGGGGAGGAGGTGGGGGGGGGTCGTGGTGGTGTGGGGGGAGGAGGTGGGGGGGTGTCGTGGTGGTGTGGGGGGAGGAGGTGGGGGGGGGGGTCGTGGTGGTGTGGGGGGAGGTGGTGGGGGAGGTGTCGTGGTGGTGTGGGGGGAGGTGATGGGGAGGGGGTGTCGTGGTGGTGTGGGGGGAGGTGGTGGGGGGGGGGTGTCGTGGTGGTGTGGGGGGAGGACGTGAGGGGGGGGGGGATGTGGTGGTGTGGGGGGGGGGGCAGCACCTGTGCGTACGAGGGGGCAGGGCTCCTTTGGGAAGGGGCCGTAGCTTCCCCTGACGCTCCACCCACCAGCGCTGCAACGAGAGACAGGGGCGGCCCAAGCCGCGTGAGTTCGGATGCACTGAAGGTCGTGACGGGACGTTCCTGTTGATGGTGATGATGTTGCTGGCTGCTCCTGCTGCTGCTGATGGTGGTGGTGGTGATGTTGCTGATTGTGACGATGCTGCTGCTACTGCATTAGGTGCGTTAGAATGATGATGATGATGAAGACGACGACGACGATGAAGACGATGATGATGAAGACGACGATGGTGATGAAGACGATGATGATGAAGACGATGATGGTAATGGTTTGTAATGTCGTCATCACCAACAGCGCCACCACTAACAGCAGCAAAAGTATAATCGTCACAATCACTGCGGCTCTCCACCACCGCCATCATCACCAACACAACCACCATCACCTATATCGTCATCACTGACATCAGTGGTGGCATTACCACCACCACCACCAACATCATCAACATTGACACGTCATCACCATCAATCAACATCGCCATCAACACCACCACCATCGACTTACCATCACCACCACGAACATCACCACCCTCCAAAGACAAATATCCCCCCAGTATAGCCTTTACAGACTGTAGGGGCAAGTTCTGTTAGCGGGCAACCTCTCTCCACGACACCCAGCACCCCCACTCCTCCTCCTCCTGCCCCCCCCCCTCCCTCACCTTTGTTCGGTGCCACCCCGCCGCTGAGCGCCCCCCCTCCCAGCAGGCACCAGCTGATGGGGGGCGCGGGGGCCCTGGTGAGTGGCTGCGCGCTCAGTGCGCGCGGCCTCACCACCCTGAGCGCCTGGGGTCCTGCCTGCACCCCCACTTGGGGAAAACCGCGACCGGCTCCGGCTGCAGACCCGGTCCAGCCGAGAGCGGCCTTGGACTCGCAGAGACTCGCAGGTGGCTCCGGTCCATCCACACCCTCTTGCTGGTTCTGCTGCTGCTGATGTTGTTGTTGTTGCTGGAACACGATGGCGTGGCCGGAGTTCTTGAAGGGCAGCCACCCGCAGCGCGCATGCTGCTGCTGTTGCTGCCCATCGCCTCCACTCGCCGTGGCGCACGGCAGCAGTGGAATGGCGTAGGCGGGAGAGCGCTCCGCGAAGCTCGCGGTGGCGAGGCCGCCGACGCCGCGAGTTCTGGCCAGAATGTCCGATCTCCTGGGAGCCTCGGCCATGATGCGTTCAATGGAGAAGGTCAGGGCCTTCGAGTGGCTGGCCATTGTGAACCCAACTCGCTCTCTCGCGCTGTGTTTTGCTTAACTAGATAGCTTCACACGTAAACAAAATAGTTGTCAATAATAATTATGATTAGTCTAATGATGGCAATTAGTCAGGGGTTAGTTAGTTAGTTAGTTTTTCCCCCCCACTCGATATTTTGCGGAACGCTGGCTGCGAGGCTTGGTATGGAGTCGTCGAGATTATCTGCGTAAGGCACTAACACAATCTACGCCTATCCACAATAATCCTAAATAATTCTACCCTATTATTCCGATAATCCTACGATGACGATAATGTATCATGAGGACAAGATAAAGCGTGACAGTGTTCCGGACTGTTCCCGTTATAGTTAAGCACCGTAAATAGTAAATAAATAACCTAATGGATAAATAACCGTATCAATAAATAATTACGTTAAATAAATAGGCGCGCGCGCGCTAATTAAGTGAGAGCAATTTGTAATTAATTGGCCGGCTCTGGAGGAGGGGCGCTGTGATTATTTTGAGTCCGCAGGCAATGGAGCGAATTTCTCCATCACAGAGCTTGGAACCTGCAAGAAGACACAAAGAGTGGTCAGAACCTTCAGCAGAGGGGCGCCACGGTGGCGAGATGTTAACTCCCTCGCCTGGTATGCAGGAGGTCGTGGGTTCGATCTCGACCCTGACGCCTCCTGTATATTTGGAGTTTGCGTGTTCTCCCCGTGGTCACGTGGATTGTCATCCGGGTCGTCCGGTTGTAGAAACACGAGTTTAGATGACCTGGTTTCTGTACATTTCCGCATGATAAGCCACTTTGTTGAGCTTCCACTTGTGCCATGGTCGCTTTTAAATATATATATATAGCTCAGTGGGCCTTACCTGGTACAAAACATTTCTCTCATCTTAGTATCAATCCCAGAGTCCAGTCAAGTCACCTATATCTATCACCAGACGGGGAGCCACCGAGACAGCTTCTATTTTGCGAGGGAGACCTGGGGGGGGGGGGTCAGTTAATTATCCAGATTTCCACACGGTCTGCTGTGGGCTTAGTTCAGAGCGGTCTACCGGCACCTAGTCTCGCCGGGTGGCAGTGGTGGTGGCTACGCACGTGGCCTGTAACCCAGCACTGTGGAGCCAGCGAGGGTTGGTGGATTGTTCACAAGTTGTGAAACTCCATTCCCGTGGACGTCGAGGAGGAGCTTTATAACACCCTGGCTCGCCAGGAGAAGGCGGCACAGCAAATGTGGACTCCATCTGTTCTACTACCTGTATAGGATAGAGAGTTGCCAATCTCTTCCACGTGTATGGGATAGAGTGTTGGCCACTAGCACGCGTGGGGTGTTCTCCATGATGTGTTTATACTCCCACGTGTATAAACACGCATTGATTGAATAAAAAAACATCCTAGTAATATGTAGAGGACCGCAGAGCTTTGGTAATTGTTGGCAGCGGCTCACCGCGTGGCTGCTGCTGCCTTCCCGATTGGCCGTGGTTCCTCCTTGCGTCTCTGAGTCGTTCTCTGTCTACGCGCGGCGCCGCGTTATGAGTTGACACCGTTACTGTTACCATTATAATTATTATCATTGAGAGATTAAGAATCCATTCGGAAATCTCGCTGAGAAATACGGCCCCGTGTGTCACGTGACGTATCTCGAAGTGATCTCTGTCATCTCCAAACTAAGAGGCGCATTTCCCCCACACACGCCGAGACACCTGGTAATTGTCAGATCACAGGACACCGACCATTGGCAAATTAAACAAAATACTCATCGTAATCTTACGACAGTATTCGTGAAATCGCAGGTGACCGGGCTTGAGGCCACTGAGTGGCTCCACTTGAGAGCCCGACTTGTGTCAGGGCTGAGTGGCTGACACGCGGAGTCGAACTGTGGTTCTCCAGCGGGGCCCGGCTGAGAAGCGCTCGGAGCTGCTCAATCACTGCGCTCGCAAGACGCGGAGCCGAGCGACGGCGCGGAGGCAGTAGACGAGTGACGCGCTTTGATGTCGGAGGCGAAGTGTCGCTCACCCGAGTTGCTGTGAAAGTTGCTTGAAATTCTCAACTCTTAACCATCGTCATCATCATCGTCGTCGTCGTCATAATCATCATGGACTAAACGCCACGACGGAAACGTTTCACGGTGACGAGTTTAGGATGCTAATCGGAAAGCGATTACAGCCTAGAATTGACGTGAGGAATATTCATCATCGTCATCGCCATCTTCACCGACGATGATCATGATGACGTGGAGATTTTAAATAAAAACTATCGGGACCGGGATAACAACGCGTTTACGACAAAGAATCGACATTGAATAATCATCATCAGAATCACCGCCATCATCATCGTCACCAACACCACAAACATCAACTCCGAGACTCATCATGACGATGGTTTTACGGTAAAGTGTTCAGCACGAGCATGATGGCATTCAATCTTACGACCAACAAACTCTTAAGGCGTAAAAATAATAATTTATCATCGTCATCACTATCAACCTAAAGAGAGTAGGTGGCTTTCGGTAAAGTTCTCAGAGTGGATATAGAACGCGCATGCCACGACGGAGATAATTTGTAAAATCATTATCATCAATATCATCATCATCATCATTATATAGAGCGTAAGAAACACTCATGCACCCACAAACGGGAATGTATCAGCATCATCACCACCATCGTAGTCATCGTCCGCACCTCCAATTGGCACGGTTGTCTACGTATGGTGCGAAAGAAGTTTAACATACATAGTTACATACTCATCATCGCTATCATCATTTAAAATGACCGCTCGTACATATCTTGATGGTGTGATCGCGGGTACAATAAAAAGGCACTTACGACAAAGAGCTGGAATTCGATGATGACGTTGACCATGATTTCGTTAACATTGTGACTCATTACCATCATTCCAATCCCTGTTGATGAGCTCTGATTAACCACGCGTAGCGTCACCCCGCGCTGTAACATGACTCTCTTCTCTGTGTGTTGCTTGTACGCGCGAACACGCGATCACGCCGCTCGTCGATTATATTTTGCTGCCTAATTACGAAAAATTGTTCAAGTTGAAATGACTCATTAAGGCAGCTGCGTCAGCTTGCGTGTGCACCTGGGGGGGGGGGGGGGCATGGTCGAGCGAGTCACGGAGGATTCTGCTGCACGAACAACGACGCGACGAGAATCCCCTTCGGCTATCGCGAAAGCGGCGCGATAGAGACGCGCAGTCTGCGGTCGCGACGCGGACAACGACGATGGTGATGATTGATGGTGATAGAACGAGTGAATATTTATGCGTAAAAGTGCGCGTCGCGATCGCTCGCGATGTGAAGGACGGTGCAGAGTTGATCATCTGGACCGTCTCGCGCGTAGATGCACAAGCAAACGTGCGCGTCAAGACCTCGGACGGCCAAGCGCCTCTCGTGTTAATCCACTGCTGGATGGATACGAGGCCCTTTCTCCCCACGTCCGTACGAGTCGTGGGGGTGGGGGGGGGGCGGGGGGGTGGTGTTTGACCATACGTCGCCACGCTGGTGAGTGTGGGTTTTCGGTGAGGATTGTATTTTAAGTGGTACGTCTGTCGGACGCAGGTTTATAGATCGGCGCCACCCAAGCTAGCAGGAGCAATAGCAGCCTTCAACCCGCTTTCCATAGGCTTTAGCGTCACAGTCGTTCGGAAATGAAAGTATCGGGAAATGTGATTTTAAATAAAATAAGAAATACTGTGTTTTTTTATTCAATACAGTTTGAAATGTCCAAATACAAACTATCGTTAGCCTAGTTTCCAAAACAACTAAAGTCGAAACCCTTATCCCAATATTTACGAGAGGCCTCCAATAGTTTTGCGGTGTTTTCGAGTAGTAAATGAACAAAAACATGCTTTTAAAATTTTTGTTCAGAATCGTTCACGAGGTCCATACGAGGAATATTTGTTGGTATATGTAAAAAAAAAAGTCCAAAACATTTGACCCAATTGATGAGAGCCCTCATTCAGAAACCCACTTTTAATAATAATAATCCCTTTTCAGATTACCCCGTCCCTCCTAGTTGTTATATGTGTATGACTGATTATATTTGTGCCAATTTTCAGCCATCTATCCGCTTTCTAGAAAATAAGGATATCAAATGCATCAACCACCGTCCACGTGTATTGGATACAGCTCCCAGCGTGGATACTATTCTACACATGGACAGCTCTTGTGTCGATCCACTGCTGGATTAGGACCTGCATATGCCGCGCGTGATGGTGAGTGGGCGGGGGGGATATGACCATACTTCACCACGCCGGTCAGGTCGAGTCGGAGGGAGGGGGCACCCAGGCATTACCGGGTTCGACTCGCGTTGCGCGCAGATCTGTAAACCACGGCGCCACCAGAATTAATTACGGGTGGTCTAAATACCCTAGTTAGAAAATGTATATACTGTAATTACGTAACATTACAGCGTGTTCAATCAGTAATATGACAACCAGAGGAAGTGTGAACGTTGCTGAAAATACTCAATAAATAAAGACTATCAGAAAATGTATAAAATCTGTAAATGACGATTAAAAGGTATCACAGGAGGGAAACCTCGGTTCGAATCCGGGGTTCACCCGTGGCCACCTGTGGTGAACCCGGGGTTTCATGGGTACAGCGATGATGGTCTCCGCCCAGGCTCGTATAAGACTCGCACAGTGGAGAGCCGTGACTTGTGCAACGTGGGCCGAGTGTTGATTAAACGTGGAGGTGTGTGTGCGGGTTGATGATCTCAGCCTGGTCTCCCAATGACCGCACCAACAATGCATCTTTCCCCCGCTCCCCACGCCGCCGCCACCCCATTAAACTGCCTGTTGAGCGAAACCAACATTCCCGAAACGTACCAAGACAAATCGGGCATATTAACATTCAAGGCATGTCAACGTTATACCCCTAAGTGAAGTAGTTCCAAAAGGTCTATTGAAGCGACTCCAGGATAGGAGTTCTTCTGTTGGGTCACCAGCCAGCACCACGCGGTAAACCTTTGGACCAACGTTCGTCCAACGTTCCGTGCTTGCTGGATATCAGTAGTGGAATGTGAGCTCGCTACTCGGCGACCCGGTAAACCGTTGACTCAACGTTCGCTCAACGTTCATTGCTGACTGGATAGCAGAGTGGTGGACTGTGGGCTAGCGAGCTAAGCCAGCCAGCGACCCGGTAAACATTTGGACCAA